CACGGATTATACCAAAACTAATCAAAAACCTAGCATTAGTTCAGAGCATGTATGTACAAAGTTTCATCAAAATCCAATGAGTAGTTGTTTAGATATCAGTGGAACAATCATGGAACAGCTAAAAATCAGCTAATTATCATGCAAATTAGGTAATTAATATGCACGAATTTTTACCAAAAACTAATCAAATCTGCGCATATGTTCAGAGCATCTATGTACCAAGTTTCATCAAAATCCAATGAGTGGTTGTTTAGATATCAGTGGAACAATCATGGAACAGCTAAAAATCAGCTAATTAACATGCAAATTAGGTAATTAATATACACGGATTTTTACCAAAAACTAATCAAATCTGCGCATATGTTCAGAGCATCTATGTACCAAGTTTCATCAAAATCCAATGAGTGGTTCTTTAGATATCAGTGGAACAGTCATAGAACAGCTAAAAATTAGCTAATTATCATGCAAATTACGTAATTAACGAGCATGGATTTTTACCAAAACCTAATCAAATCTGCGCAATGGCCCAGAGCATCTATGCACCAAGTTTCATCAAAAACCGATGTATGGTTCTTGAGATAGCAGTGGAACAGTCGGACACACATACACACATACACATGTACACACACACACACACATACACACACACAGACACACTAACTGCAAAGACTCCCATTATGTGCTTCGCACATGGGAGTCAAAAATATATAAACCATTATTCATGTATGATACAAACTAATCTAGATTTACCAAAATGATAAAGTTTCAAAACTTTGATAAAAATATAAACGATACGAGATAAAATCAGTGCAGGAAAATTATTTTTGGTGCAAACATAGTTATTGAATTTTGTTTCTTACCTGTATCCATTGATTTCATCAACACATGTTGCATCATTTACACATGAATGGTCTGTACATTCATTGATTTCATTGTCACAGTGTACGCCGTCATAACCAAGATGACACTCACATTCATACCCATTGTTGATATTGATACATTGTATTGTATTGATAGGATGACACGGCATTGATAAACATTCATTTATATCCACAGAACAATCATCTCCTGCAAAACCTATCAACAATAACATTTTATGACACGTGCGTTGAAAAAATAATTTATGAAATTAATATTTGATTATGAGCCTGAAGTCTAAAAAGTCTCAAAAACAAAATGGCTGCCAGAGTCGGTGCATATACTATGGAATTACCATGGAAACATGCATGGGTAACCACTATATTTTATTCATATTTCATTATTTATTTGGTATACCATTATTTCAATAAATAAGTCAATAAATAGCTGTGTATACAAATTAATATTATTCAAAAAACCTGAATATTTCCACACTACCCAAAAAATTAAAATTGAAATGCAAATGCAGTCAGCGTAATAAACTATCCTCTAAATGGCAAAACATTTTTCCAGATTTGATGTTGCATTAATATTCATTAGGTTTTAGATCCATTGGTTGGTGAATCACTTTCTATTATTAACTTTTCATATTCACTGGCATCAATGAATTATACAAAAATAAATCCCAGTGATTAATTAAGATTTTTAAAATACCATATTTGTTCTATTTGAAACACATCTCCAACAGAAGTGTACATACCCCAAAAATAGCATGTATTGTATGCTGGATCATTAAAATACGACTTATTTTGGCCATAGACACACCTCTGTCATTTACATAAATGCACATGCACTGCTAATAAAATACTGAGAAACTGGTGCAATATACTCTTGTTCATAATAAAACACCTGGTACAAGTCAACTCACCTGGAAGACATTGACAGAGGTAGGCATTGATGAGATCTTCACAAGTGCCACTATTTTGACAAGGATTTGACATACATTCGTCTATTTCCGTATCACACGTGAATCCAACATATCCCGACAGACATTGACATGTGAAATTAGCGACTTCATCTATACACGTTGCACCGTTCTGACATGGCAAACTATCGCAGTCATTAAAGTTAATTTCACAATGTGAGCCGGTGTAGCCTGAAATAAAAATATAAAATGTTAGTCGTATCAAGAATGTATCAAAAGAATATGCAACTGTTATTCTACATGATGAAGATCCATAGGATATCACACGAATCGCAAGATAATCACAAAATCATAAGACAAACATACATTTCAATGTTTATGTACTTGTTTAGTTGTTGGCCTGGAACAAAGTATGTATTACATATTTTCGCATTTTTGAATTTATGCTAGGGATTCTTTTAAACAAGGGAACAGGGGCGCAGCACCCTCATGCCATGGCCATGCACCCCCTTACCCTGGGGAGCAGATCCTCTGGCAACCATAAAATTCTGATTGACCAGGGATCACATATGGCCACAATCTTTAACTGTGACTAGTCTGATAGTAATTTTAGCCCCAAGGAAGCCATAAAATGCTCCATTTTAACTTAGAATTATCAAAAACTTCACACCCAGGTAGGGAGAACCCTATCTCTTCCACTTGGTGGCGCCACTGAATTGCAGTGTATGCAATCAAATGAAAATCACTATAATGATGTCACTGAGTACACTGAGTAAACTAGTGCCAGATATAGAGACTCCCTAGCTAGTACACGAGAGAAGGTCTTATGCACCCAAACTGTCTTTTGCAAAATTGAAGAGATTTACAAAACTTCATTCTTGGATGAAATGCGACTTAAATGTATCTAAATGTCACCGGGGTCATTGACCCACTATGACAGGAAAACTTACCATCAGGACAATAACACAGATAGGCATCTATGGCATCACGACAGACAGCACCATTCTGACAAGGATTCGGATCACAGTCATTAATATTAATCTCACAATTAAAACCAGAAAAGCCTGTAAAAATTAAAGTTAAAAATTAAAAATAAAAAAAGGTTACATTTCAAAATAAAATAAATCATACCAAATTGTTTTACTTATGACATCAGAAAACACTGAAGCAGCAAGATTTGAGATACACTTTTACTGGTAATAGAGGAAATACAGCTGTGAGCAACACCAACAACATTTTTAGGGTTAACCCTCTGAGGGCCAAAGTCAACTTCAGACACCAATCACAAAATAGTTCCAATTATAGTCTGCTCTTTTCCACAACAAAAAAAGTTGATAATATCTCAAATTTTGTTATCATAAACTTGAAGCAATGTCACATTTTGTCTAATCAGTTCAAATTAAATTAAACTCAGTGAAAAATTTACAGATTACCCCATTCTATTTCATTCTGAGTACATTGTCTACAAATTCTTTTTTTAGTAGGTATTTTTGGTTATGTATGTCTTCCTTTATCTATTGCTAAATAGTGATTCTTATCAAAAACCTGAAAACTTGACTTATTAAAAAAAAGAAAATAAAGAAAATAAAACAATATTAAAATCCCTGTCGAAAACATCAAATTTGGCGTCATTGGGAAACCATGTGATGTTGTGGTAAAATAAGAATGATGATAACTTACCTTGTTGACAGGTACATGTATAGTTATTACCATCATTAGACTCCACACAGTTTGTAGCATTATTTAGACATACTCCCTGAGAGCAAATATCAATGTCAACTGAACAATCATCTCCAGTAAACCCTACAGAAAATAACATACATGGAGAAACATTATTTTTGTATTTTTTTGCCGAAAACCCAATGTAAATGTTTTTTTACAAGGCAGTAAAATTATTTATATTTCTATGACACATAAATCTTATAGATGATAAGTACTTTATTTTCGCTTGGAATTTATTTTCGCTATTTTCGCTGTAGGGATAATTCAGTTAAAATAAAATCTAGTGAATAACACTTTTTTCCTATATTTTACATTCAATTCATTAAAAATCATTGCAAATAAATTCCATACAAAACACCCAAAAAACCTTTCAGCAAAAATTAATTCCAGCTAAAATACAGTATTTTACAGTAAATTATAATTCATCTGTGTATTCTGTACAATTTGAATAAGAGTATGATTAATTTTTGCTGAAAAAACTTTTTGGGTGTTTTGTATGGAGTCGAACGTAAAATATACGGTAAGTAAAAAGTGATATTCGCTGGATTTTATTTTCACTGAATCATTCCTTTCGGGAAAATTAATTCCAAGTGAAAAAAAAGTATTTTACAGTAACCATATATTAATTGTGTGCTAATTATACACAGTTTGTGAAGAATAGAGTAACAGACGAGCAACTAACTCAGAATATCATTAAGTATGATTCTTACCTATTCCACACTGACACTGGTAAGTATCTATCAAATCAATACAAACACCGTTATTTTGACACGGATTAGAGTCACACTCATTGACTTCAACTTCACAAGTCTCCCCAATAAATCCAAGACTGCACAGACACTGAAACTCTGCGTTTCCATCCACACACGTTGCTCCATTCTGACACGGATTAGAATCGCATTCATTGATATTTACTTCACAGTATGTTCCAATGTATCCAATTAAACATTGACAACTGAAGGTTGTCTCACCATCCTTGCATATTCCACCATTATCGCAAATAACGCCCTGGCAGAAGTCAATATCAATCTCACAGTACTGCCCTGTATATCCCACTCTACATTGACATAAATAAGTTGACTCTCCCTCAATGCAAGTTGCAGCATTCAAGCAATTGTTGTTATCACAGAAAGCAATGTAAGTTTCACAGTTCACCCCTATGTAGTGATTGGTACAGTCACATCTGTAAGAATTCTCATCTATAATCTGGCATGTTCCATTGTTCTGGCAGGGGAAGAAGGAACAATATCGATGGGTTGGGATTTCACAAAAATCACCTGTTGACAAAAAAGAACATTTCAGAGTAAGAAACAGAATAATGCATTTTCAACACATGACTTTTACTTAGTTCCTGGTTCCAAAATGCTAAAAAAATTGGTATGGTTTGTATCTTTTTTTTTTTTATTTACAAAATATATTGGCAGAAACCTGAAAATAATTGTGAGTAGCCCCTTCTGAAATTGCTTTTGCACTTTAATATGACAAAATCCTCACTGCATCACATCTGTGGGGTAAAAAAGTTGTATTCAGTCAGTGGTATGTCATGCAATAGACCATTTTCCGTACACTGCGAGAATCACGCGTTATGCGTGAAATCGATAGTAAAAACAGGACAAACAAAGGTCATAGCGTCGTAGTTGCGTCAAACATCGCGTGGGATTCGACAAACGCGAAAGTATTTCGGGGACATTTCCATGCTTAATAATGTGCTGTCCACATTTGATGATAGGCAATTTTGATTAAGTAAGGGTATTCGGAAGCAATATTCCTCTGTCAAAGATCGGTCGGTCAATGTAAGCTGCGAAATAAAGAAATTCTAGTTCAAAATCAAATCGTTCGATTTTTGCGGCAGACGTTCGACGCGCGTCTTTCATGCATCTCGCGAGATCTCGCAATTGTTCGGAAAATCACCTATTGAATTAATATAATAGAGAATTCAAACTTGTTTAGGGATGACGTCAAAAGATCAATGTCGGATAAAAAAATTAATTCCTTTAGTTTTTTTTCAAACCCCCCTACCCCCCACTGAAACTTAATTGATAAATATTGGTCATGGCGTCAGACTACATTCACCATTAAATACAAATTGATAATCGGACAGTAGTATTGCATATCAGTTGGCTGTCAGGTGGGTGTAAAAAGATTTTACAAATGCACCTCATTTGACACACAGATTTACACTCGAACCAAACCATTTTTCTTTTTTTTTTCCCTTTTCAGTTATTTCTGTCCATGAGTGGATAGAAAAAAAAAACGAACTACAAATACTCCAAGATTTTTTTGACTTCATTAAAAAATAAAATCGTTTTTGTAGGATGGAAACTTTTTGAGGTCAACCCCCCCCCCCCAAATAAAGGAAATAAGTTTTTTATCCGACATCGATCTTTTGACGTCGTTCCTTATACTGATGATTTTCTATCCAGTTGCTGCATCTAGCTAGTTCTATCATGGTTTGTCTTCCAGCATTTACCAGTGACAGAAGTTGAGAGTATGTCTACGAATGGTCAATTGAACAATTCAATTGCTTGCCATCGTTGCATGTACCGGTATGTACATTAGAACATAGTGTTATAAAAAGAAAACTTAGCTCCATGATTACACTCAGACTTGTATTTTACAATGTTAAAATCTGAAATAATAGCGATGACACATGGTACAATTCAATTTATCAATTATATAACAACATTTTTACACTATACAACTAAGTATATAGGGCTCAATTATTCACTGGGTTTTATTTTCTCTTATTTTTGCTGATCACTAAATTTCCTGAATTAAAACCCAGTAATTATTCATTAACAATATATTTAAAGTGCCTGTGAAATGGCTGCTATTTTCACGCCTAAAATTATCAATTGATACATAAATATTATTAATTTTTATGTTTCTAAGCATGAATTATTTCTTTTAAGTGAAAAAATGTGTTTTAAACTTAGTCTACGTCAACTTCATTTTTGTGTATTTTAAAACGAGGCTCCTCATTAGCTTCTCATTTGCATACAGAAATTCCCCTTGTGACGTCAGAAGGGGAAGTCGCATGGCAGCTTGCATTGCCGATACGTGTAAATAAGGCAAATTTCTTGTGCAGTTTTCTCGTCTTTAACTATATTGTCACTTTTGTACTTGTTCGTCGAGGAAGAATGGACCATAATGAA